AAAAATACAGAAATATGAGAAATATTGAGAGACTGGGAATCGGTGAATTGGATGCAAAATATGGAAATTCAAATTAACAGCTCTTGAATAAACAACTCTGGATTGCATTACAAAGCGAACTCGAGGGAAAAGATATGAGAGTATTACAGTGTTTCGCTCGAATTTGATTTGTAAATTGAAACGCTTGACCAACCTGGCATCTCCTGGTAACATGCTCGACACTATCTCAATTATACGAATCTGTATATCTGTGTAAGATTTAATGATATCTGCGTTTAGTCAAAAATTATATCAAAAGTAAAAACAAATATGAAAATATATTTCTTGAAATTGTGTATAATAGTTTATATTTGACTCACTTAGTAATTTTTTGTACGATACCCATTTTATTTTAATTACAAACGCATTGATTGAAATATGCAGAATGAAGAAATAGTTGTGAGTTCTATTTATTTGTACTACTGTGTGCAGCTCTACCTGTTCATTTATTGAACAATGCATATATTTGCTATAACATGTTATTAAACTTCTTCCAGTGAAGATTTAAGGTGTTATTTATTTATATATAAACACGTGATTCTTGCTTTTAAGTAAGTTCTTGATTTCTTTACTCATGTGCACTAACATAACCTAATTATCTCTCAATTGGAACAAAATATGGAAAAAAAAATATTGAAGCGTAATAATAATAACTGAATTGTGGATATTTACGCAAATTTGTTGCATTTATAATATAATTGACAGAATACAGAACCTAGAACTTGGAACCTTGGAAAATCGCTTCATGTATCAAATACTTTTAGATATATTTTATATTTTCTCGTGTCACTCCATGCAATTTTTGAGGCATAAAATTCCTTTGTAAATAACGTAAAAATTTACGTTAATAAATGGTGACAAGTATCCATTCATACGTAACTCGTTTTTCGAATTTCCTCTCTCTTATCATTTATCGTATAAACACACCGGCAGTGACACATATATATTACGCTTGCTCTCAAACGAACTTCGTGCAATTTACACGAAAGACGTTGGTCCATGTTGGAGCATTCGTCGCAAAAGGTGAATCCGTGTCATCGCAAATATTTACCGCGACTGTTCCGCTGTTTGTATCTCGATTATGCGCTTCTCGATTGTAAATCGCTGGCGACTTCACGCGCAACAGCGGTAATCGAGCCCGTGTTTTGAGGTTGGAAAACGATTCTGATGTGGAACAACGAGATTCTCGATAAGACGGCACAGAGAACAACGGAAAACATTAATTCGAGAATGTAAAACGTTATTCCACACGAGAATAAGTAAAAAAAAATTGTTCAAACAAATCATATTCTTCAGATTTCCTCAGATCGGCTCACAGTTAGTATTTGAATTCGGATGCACTTAAATGCGTCACGGACGAGCATTAAAAATATCGATTAACATCAATTAACATCGACAATTCTTTGCATCGATGTATACTCGATTTGGATTCATCATGCGTAACGATTAAGCTTCTAACCGAACGATAGCTTCGTTTCTAGAAATTCAAACAAATTTAAATTGGAAATTGAACTTTTGGAAATCTGAATTTTTAAATTCAATATTCACATCTTGTGACAAATGCTCGCAATTTGGTGAGTAATCGTAATCGATCACAACAAAATTTCGATCTTTCGTTAATCACGTTTGGCAGATCGACAAAAAACCAATTTTTTGGCAAACAATTGCGTCGCTGACACCTGAATTCGACAAATTATAATTACTATTTATACATGAGCACGATAAATGTGAACAATTTGCCGTGTTTTCAATTTGGTAAATGCAAAATTGTAAGAAATTTTATGTCTATATTTGAACATAACCATATTTAATGATTTTATATCGACAGGTGTAAGTCGTCGATTACATATCGATAGATATCAAATCACGATTTCCTCTATTCGAAACTTTTCCTGACGAAGCTCTTCGTGTAAACTTGCATTTTTATTTGTACGTATGTATGTGTTTTTGGTTTTTGGCGAAAGTGCGCAATGTTTCATATGCAGATTCTTTCATACATCAATGATACTTCTGTGTTATATTCCCCGCGTGGGTTTCATTGGGAAAGTCCATCGCTTTGGCTGGAGTTTTATGCAATTCCAATTTCTCGACTGAAAGATGCACATTGTTCTGCGAGCGTTTATGCAAGAGTACCTTTCCTACCACGCTTTGCACTTAGAACTGGGCAATCGTATTCCACGTAAAATTTTCCCCAAAAGATGAAGAAAGTAGGGTACAATTTAATCTGCGTTAATGAGACGCAGGTAAGCAAAAAGATTTATTATGATTATTACATGTTAGAGTTTATTAAATTTATTGAGGTTATTTAATATCATGATATTTGTTAAAATCTATGAAATTTATTAACTAAACACAGTGTATCCTAACACGTCGATATTGTTCGTGCATTGAAAAACGATCGAAAGGATTGGATCAAGACTAATTGTGAGTTAAGAAAACACTCTCTTAATCTATGATTAAATAAAATCTTGACAAGACCATACTAATGTTCTTACTTTCTGCTAAAATCCCCAGTGACTCTACTTAACCATTCGAACGTTTCTGATGTTTCTGTTTCTTCATTATTGCGCTATATCTGCAGACAGCGTTAATCCTGGATTGGTAAGGCAGGAAATAATCTATTATTGCACGAATCTCGCCTTCGGGTCACAATTCATTGTCGATGTCAATTTAAACTTGGAAAAATTTCCATGTTGCGGGAGAAGTCTGCAATCCTAAGCTAGGAATTAAGTTTCCAAGGAACTAAGGATTTCCAATAACGACAAACGTTATTATACGGCCAGGAAAAATAATGATAATAGCTTAAAAAGTATACGAAAAAGAAATTCCGTGATTTCCATGAAATGAAGATGAGAAAGCAAAGAAGATACGGAGCATGAGGTAACATGAGACAAAAGACATTTCAGAATCTAAAATTACAATAATAAAGGAATTTTATATCACGGTAAGAAGATGTTTATAATGCTTGAAAGAATAAAATTACATAACAATTTAAATTATTCCTCTTTAATATTCATAAATATTTTTTCAAATAATTAGCAATAATTTAAATTAACGTGTTACATAAGCATAATATCAGATAAATGTTGGATAAATTTAATTTATTGTAAATCTCCAATTAAGGAAACTAAAAAAACAAGAATGATAATGGAATACAGAAGATAATAACAGAATGAAAATAAAGCGTTTCAGACTCGTTTCAGAGACATAACGCTAGAACATTAAAGAGGAAAGTTGCGGTAATAAAACGAACTGAATGCTGAACATTGAAAAAGAAATTTCCAATGATAGCGAAATGAGCAACCAAATCGATGTATTATGGTAATATGAATGAACATCGGTTCGAAGAAAATCAAAGAAATCAGCATTGGACGGTTTTTCGACGAAGCCATTAGGGAATTTCTGCGAAAACGAAAATCCGAAAGTTATCTGACGCTTGAAATAAAAAGGAAATTGCCGTGTCGACCATTCTAAAGAATCACGTCGTTCGACGAATTTATCGTGGTTCCTGATGTATTGCGGGATCTATTTATTCTATGTGTCACTTTAAGTATTTCTCTTCGTTGCTATTTTTAATTCTCATATAGTTGGGTTATAGGTGATTATAATAATTTACATCAGATTTATTTATTTAGGATATTTCGCTCGATAATTTCCATGCGACAGAGATTAGTAATAAAATGAAATAAGATTGAAAATTCCAGAATTAGGAAATTTATCTTTAAATTATTATATTGTAAATAATTATTGTAATTATCATATAATTATAATTTATTACATTTATTATATTATAATTATTATAGTATAGTATATTATAGTATATAGTAGTATATAATATAATTTAATGATACCAGTTAATGCTGAAATATATATATGTAACAGAAAGTAGAAATAATGCGATGACATAACTTTTTTTTTGGTAAAAATATGATGTTTGAAAATAGAGGGTAATATTTGAAATGAAATCTCGCTAACAGTTTGATACTTTGACATTAATACTTTGCAATTTCTTGTCCTAGTATAATGAACCACAGATATTTCTCTCTCGAATTGTTAAAAATGTAGAAACAATAGAATGAGTATTTGCTTTTAATGAAGCAGAAGTCTGATTATTTTGATTATAATTAGATTATATGGATTTTTATCTTTATATTTTTACGTTTATTTTTTTATTTTCATATATTTATTTTTTTAATTTTTGATATATTTTTCAATTTTTTATAGAAAATGAAAGGACAGAAATCTATGAAGATTCATAAATATGCGTAGTGCAGCTACAATCATTTTAATGATATCCGTAACAACATGAATTTACACAAATATGATGGCCATCAGTATTGACAATATGGTATTAGATCTACAGAAGATGTGTTCATTTAAACAAGTTATACAACTTGATCACGTTTCCGCTATATCTTTCCAATCTATATAACATCACTCTTTCCTTTATTAATCAACGGCGGAACGAAATTCGATATCTGCCTTATACAATCAACTAACAATTTGTCAAATGAGAGAGAAGAAAATGATGTGTGCTTTGCACATCACGAGATAAGTAATATTATAAAAATTATGTTAGAACATGTTTTGATAATATAAATTTATTAAATATATTAAATATATACATAATATAATTATTATACATAATATAATTTATTAAATATATTAAATATATACATATATTATTAATGCTGAAAATTGTTTTTAGTTCATTGGACTTAATGTTAATGGCTGTTTTATGTGAAAGAAGATTAAGATTGCAAGATCTTCAGTTTCTTTGCTATTGACCATCGACCAGTCATTTGAATTTTACCTGGCTGCAATGCGAAGAAGTAATCATAAAATAGTCCCTCAGGGAATATAATTCCTTTTATCTATTTTCCGTTATTCGGGACTGCATTTCTTGCAATTCGGAGATTGACAAACTATAGCCGAGGAAAAGTAATTTTCGCTTTTCTCTTTCTTCCAATTCCTTCTGCCTTAAATCTATTTCTATTTTTCCTATTGAAAATATCTTCGCTTCTTCTCATTTTGCTAAACTTAAAAAAAAATTCCAAAATAATTTTCAGAATTATTTATTAATTATTTATTAAAGCTAGAAGGAAAGAAAAGCGCAAACATTTCTTGAAATTCACGAATATTATTAATCAATTTTAAGGAAAATTAGATTACATTTTCTTAAAAAAAAAAAAAAAAGAAAGATGTTTTTAAAGATATTCCTTAACATTGAATACCTTATGTTCGATTAGAATGTTTAACGCATCTTCTGTATTTTTAGGGAATGTCGATGACTTAGTAACAATGGTAATTTTCATCATCGATGACAATCACGCTGTAATATCCGTCTGCCGGTAAAGACAGTCACGAGATAATTAGATTCTTCCTTGCGCTATTTCAAACATTAGTTATCCATCGATTGATCATGATTTCTACGATACGTGGATTTCAACATAATTTGCAAA